AGACCCTTGAACGCAGGAAAAGCATGGCGTCAATTAGGGACCATCTCCCTAGTACTAGTCGTCGTCGTAGTAGTAGTAGTAGTAGTAGTAGTAGTAGTAGGAGGAGGAGGAGGAGGAAGAGGAGTAGGATGAGTAGGAGTAGGAGTAGTAGTAGAGGAGGCGTAGTAGGAGCAAGCAGAGGCAAAAATAGCATGTGCAACATGTGTCTCACTAGTATAGACACAGATACTGGTCATCAGATCATGGTGCTGAGTATACTCTCTACGACTGCTAGCTTGCAGTGTTTCGATGCTCGGATGTTGTTCCTGCCCCACGTACTGTTTGTAACCACATCATATCATGACACCTCGTGAGCAGTTTTGCATCAGACCGAACTGTTTGTGCCACTGATGCGGATTTTGTTGGCAAAGGGCAACGGGGGTCGACTGTGACCACCTGCCCGCGCTACGGCGAGGTGAAGAAAGGGTGATGCATTCGGTCATGCATGGTTCCCCACGCCCTACACCGCTCTTCGAGAGCAAACCCTAAACGTATGGAGGGCTAGTGGTAACACCGAGGCGCCGGTGATATGAAGTGCTCGCTCGCTGCCGTTTGTGGTCCTTCGCAGCTCAGACTGATGGCTAGCACTTCAAAGTGCAAACCGAACAGCACTCGAGCCATGCGAGCCCTTGTCGGATTGATAACCCAACCCCACCAACCCTGACTCTTGGCATCCCTTGCAACACTCGCGCTAATTGCTCTAATTCTTGTAAATGTCGCCATCACCAGAAGACTCTCGAAAAACAGAGCCTTCGATTTCGGCCTAGGCAAAAGCATAACCCCCCTCGCCCGTACACCCTGGACCCGAAAGCCAGAAAAGTCGCCCACTGCTCCTATCTCCCTCACGCCAAAGTCGCGCGGGAGACCTGAAAGCCATGGTGGGAGGCCTCTCGTTAAGGCCCGGTCTAGAGCTCGAAGGGATCTACAAGGGTTGCGATACGGATACTGCAAAGTTTTAGGGTTTCTTTGTTTTTTTTTTTGGGTGTGTGTGTGTGTGTAATTAGGCTTCTTGATGCTAAACCCCAGATCTCCACGCGGAAGAGCGCTACGACCCTGCATTCTCAACAGCAAAACCTGAAATAACCTCGCCGCTTTGACAACCTGTTTGTTGCGGCAGCATCCGTTTAGCCGAGTGTATAGGAATCTACGGTCTAGTCCCGAGCATCCGTGTCGGAACCAAGATTCTGCCTTTCTACCGCACCCAACCCGAGTACCGATTGGTTCATAGCCGGGGTAAGCCGGGCGGACCGCCTTGGGCCTTCCACCAGTTTTGCAATTGCTGGTTGGGGATCACACGGTGTGGCACTCGCCATGCAATGTAGGTCGTGCTAGTACCTCATGGCAAACATCTTCGGGAAATTGGTGGCCATGGGCTTGCATTCCTGTGATGGCCTGCAGTTGCACCGACAACCCATGGTGGCTCCGGCTGTTCTCAGCCAGAGTCTCAGGAGGGGTTGCTCGGGCAAGACGCAGCGTTGCAGTGCGTGGCTCGATTTGAGAAAATCCCTGCTGCAACCCTGAACCCTAAACCTCAAACCCTAAACTTCAAAACCAAACCTAACCTGCATTCCATCATCCAGCCGAAGGCATAGCCCTATGACCTACAGCATCTTCGAACCCTGAGTCGCTGAACCCTGATCCTCAGAAGTGCTACACAGAGCTCTGAGCTCTGCAGCTCACCCCTTTGGTCGTATCCCTGCAGGCCCAAAGACTCAAAACTCAGGTCATTCTTTGCACCATGGCAGCCCTGACGTGCGCAGCCAAGCTATTCCGACCGTGGACAGCTCGTAGAGTTTGAAGGCTGAGGGGATTAGGGTATACTACATTGTACCATACCACGAGCCAAGACGATGCTATGCTGTGCCATACTATGCCATGATGTGCTGTGCTCTGCACTGCCCTATCCTGCACTTTGGTGCTTCTTAGGGTTCGTTGAGGATTTAGGGAAGCACGGCCAAAGTGTACTGCCACCTGCCGAGTGGGGCGATCTACCTGCAGTTTACTCAGCTGGAGGGTTACGACTTCATGACTGACCTGCCGCGGCCTCAGAGCTGGACACAGAGACGATGTAAATCAGTCTGAGTCGCCGCTGCTCCCGTACCTGTGTAACCGTTGAAGCGATGAGCTGTGCGCTCCTTGCTAGCCAGGCAGCAGAACACCGCCAGGGAGAATTTGAGTGGCTACCACATGAGGTCAAGCTCATGTTTATCCGGAAACTGTGTAGGCTTGTGGAATGTCGCTTGTTGATGTCTGCTTCTTGCTTGCTGGGAACTTTTTCAGCCTCAGGCCAAGACTTGCATTCTCATTGCCATTCAGTTGCAAAGCAGCGGCCAGCACCAGCCTAGAGCCAGAAGCGCAAAGAAATGATAGTAGCTGCTAGGAATCTCTCGTGAAAACCACACGAGCTCCACCTGAACGCGAAGTGCCCCCGAATCTTCCGATGCCGGGCCTCAGCTTGCCTCTGGGGGCCGTGAGGCCAGGAGCCTCGAAGAGTCCGCAGGCCACTCCTCCCGCCAGCCCCGCTCGCAGCCTCCCGGGCACGCTGCTGCCTTTGACGGGCCTTCGAAGCAGCTCCCCGTGCGTGAGCCCCTCCAAGGGCACTGTCCCTAGCCCGCCGAAGTCTCCCCAAGCGACTCCCAGCTTCGACCTGAAAGCCTTGATCCCGGATCACCTGGACGAAGACATCTTCGCAAGGCGACTTGGGGGCCGTAGACCCGACCTGAAGACTCTGTCTGCTTAGGTGCTTAGATGGGCCCCCAAACCCTGAACCCATCCTAAGCCCCAAATCCCAGATCCTACACCCCAAGCCCCGCAGCCCTGAGCCCGAAAGGTACGACTTCGACGACAAGGAGCTCGGCGCCGGGGGCTTCGGAAGCGTCTACTTGGCCAAGGACCGTAAGATGGCCGACCGCGAGGTGGCCATCAAAAAGGCCGCGACTGGGCCCTGGCGCAGGGTCCAGGGTTTTAGGGTTTCAGGGTTTTAAGGCTTTAGGGTTTAGGGTCTAGGGTTTAGGGTTTGGGGTTTTAGGAATCTTGTGAAGGGTGGTTGTTATTGTAGTCTCTCGTGCTTTAGATGCTTGTTTTTCAATATGTCTGTTTTTGTGGGTTTCATAAGGCTCTGTATGGTTTGTAGGGTTAAGGAATTTACGGGACCTGTTGTAGCTAGCATGGTTTCCTTGGAATGGCATCTTAATGTATTAACTTCAATAGCTTCCTTAACTAGACGAGCCCAGGTGATGCTTGACGGAGATATGAGGCAAAACTTCCAGCAAGAAGTGAGGATCATGAAGGACCTGGGACTAAAGTGTGTTTTGCTAGACTTGGCTTGTTGCACCGCCGTATGCTGTATCACCAGCCGTTCTCGCAGCCTAGTGGACGGCAAAAATTGGCCATTGGATGCTATGTACCCCATAATGCGTTGTGACAATTGCACAAGATCATGAAGTCCTGTTGGATTCTCTATGTCTTGCATGATGCTGTAAAAAGGAGTTGGACCACCCCAACATCTGCCGGGTCTACGAAAGCTACGACCACGGCCGCCACGTGTTCTTCGTGATGGAGTTTTGTGCCGGTGGCGACTTGTTCGACCGCATTTTAAGGCAAGTCTTGGGAGTTGACCCAAACTCGACAAGCTGCGGGGGCTGAGCTATATCGTGCAGTGAGGATGAGAGAAGTCAGGAGGGCAAGATTGCAAACTCATGTGGCACCCCCTATAGATCTGCAAACCCTAAACCTCAAACCCGCAATACCCTGAACTCACATACCCTCAGACGTCATAATCTAGACCGCAGAAAGCCTAAAACTTAAACTCCAACCCAAACTCTAATTCGAGAATCTGTCAGAATGCAGGGTTTCGGGTCTCACTCAGAATTATTTAGCGGTCCTCATAATCCTCATAATCAGAATCCTCGTGTGTGGGGCTCATGCTAGGGTTATCAGGGGCCCTGTTCACGTGAAGGGGTGTCGCAATAAGTCAACATCGCGCGTGTCTTGGCAGAAAGCCTGAAGCAGTACAGCAAATCCTGCCGGTTTTTTGAACCCTAACTCCCGAGCCCTGCCCACACAAGCCCCTGTAGAAGTGACAATGCATTCAGGGGGGGCTCTCTGAAAGCCCCTAAACCCCTAAACCCTTATAAACTCCTAAACCCCTAAATGTTACACTAAACCCCTAAGCCCCTAAACCCCTAAACCCCTAAGCCCTTAAACCCTGCAGGCAGGGAGGACTCTCTGAAGCAGAAGCTGCGGAGATCCTGCGCCAAGTTGCAGGGGCACTGAAGCAACTCGGCAGACTCGTGAGAGGCTGCCCAAAAACTGGTTGTAAGCCGTACTCTCCTTCATATAGAAATCCTTACAGTAACTTATAAAACCCTCTCTCTCTCTCTATATATATATATTATATATATATGTATATATGTATACACACACATGCATAGATACAGATATGGATATAGATCGAGATTCGAGATAGATAGATAGACAGATAGATCCCTACACCCTAAACCCTAAACCCCATACACCCCTAAACCCTAAACCCCTAAACCCTAAACCCCTAAACCCCTAAACCCCTAAACCCTACACCCTCAAGGCACGCCCACGAGAAGGGGGTCGCTCACCGAGACCTGAAGCCAGAGAATGTCTGCTTCTGCTCCGAGGCTCTCAGCTTGGGGGTTTAAGGGATGTAGGGGTTTAGGGGTTTAGGGGTTTATGCGTTTAGGGGTTTAGAGGTTTAATTAGGGGTTTAGGGTTTAGGGGTCTAGGGTTTAGGGGGTTTAGGGTGTAGGGTTTTGGGGTGTTGCTTTCAAGGTTCCTCTGAGGGTCTTTGAGGGTTCATAGAAGGGCGTTGCACGGGGGATTGTGAGGGCGTAGTATAGAGGTCTGAAGATTTAGTACCCTAAACCCTAAACCCTAAACCCAATCTCCTTACATAGCCCCCCTTTCGGATTCAGGCTTCGAGGTTCCAGGGTTTCCTCTGTGAAGTCCCGGGCTTTCCTGAATTGGTGCTGATGGCTTTGGGTTTTTCTGGGCGGTGGTGGCGGCGAGTTGGGGATTTGGGGGTTTGGGGATGTGTTTCCGGGGTTAACGATTGGAGTTTAGGATTTGGGATGGCTTGGGCCGGGCAGTTCCAGACGTTACAGTACTGTCTGATCCCTGAAACCCCAAAGAGATGCAACGCCAGTCCAAACGCAACATAAGACTCGTACGGACCCCATGTGAACGTTCGGAAGCCCAGAAGAGGCCGGAAGAGTCGCCCTGTTCGGAATCCTAGGACCAAAGCTCGGAACCCTAAATATCAATTTCAGTGCTTATATACATATTCACATGCATATGTATATATATATATATAGATAGATAGATAGATAGATAGATAGACAGACAGACAGACATACATACAATATAATATGATATAATATAATATAATATAATATAATATAATATAATATAATATGATATAATATAATATAATATAATATAATATAATATAATATAATATAATATAATATAATACACACACATACACAGGTGTATATGCATGGAACCCTAAACCCTGAACTCGAAGCCCCAAGCATCAACCGTGCGCAGGACATGCAGGACACGCGCGTGAAGGTCATTGACTGGGGCCTGGGCTTCTACTTCAGGCGCTCTCCGAAGCCGTGAACGCCCCAAGCCCTAGGCCCCGAGCCCTAAAAACCCTGCGCGCTCAGGGTCTAGGGTCTAGGGTATTCATGATAAGGAGCTTAGGGCTAGGGGTGTTTATGATAACCGGATAAGGTTTAGGGTAGTTCGGGTATACCTTGAGCGCGCGAAAAGCAGAACCCTATACTGTACGACTACACCCCAAAAGACGAGGCGCTCCCGGATGAACACGGCGGTTGGAAGTGGTGCCTATGCCGCCCCAGAAGTCCAGTGCCCGGTTGGAGGTCGAACCGGGAAATTTGCAACACCAGGGCCACTAGGGTTTGGGGCTCAGGGTTTAGCTGAACAGATATGGACGATAGCAGCTATCATTGCTGTCTGTTGCGGTGGTTCACATCGTATTGTAGCGACTATAATGCTGGTAATGATCAGCGTCATGCATCTTGTTTTTCCAAGCCCTGTGCCTGAGGTTTATTGTAATCACCATTTAAGGCTCCTATAGTATCCGTCTCACGGTCGACAGGTGGTGCCTACACCAGCGCGTGTGACCTGTGGAGTTTGGGTGCGATGGCATGCGTCATGCTCTCAGGCCACGGCTGAAAGCTTGGCCCAAACCCTAAGCCCTAAACCCTAAGCAAACCTCTGTTCAGTGCTGGAAATGCCCAGGCCCTAGGATGTAATGGTTGTTCTGAGGCACATGACCTAATGCATGTGTCATGCCGCTTGAGCTTCAGGGTTCATTGGTCTGGACAGCTGTTTGTCGGTTCTTGTGCAATGCAGAGTTAAGTGCATGAGGACATGTGTCCCACGCGCACAAACCAAGTCGTGCAGAGAGTCTTAACTAGCAGAACGACTGGGACACTGCTTCTTCCTCAGCTAGTGCTTCTGGCAGTGTTGTTAGCTTTATGACTACTGCAGCTGCTCCTCCTGCTGCTACTACCACTACTACGAGACTGGTACTACTTTGGAGGAGAGCCCCCCAACTACGGCGGGAATGCTTTCGATGAGCAGCGTGACTTTGCGCCCCATGGGCCAATATGGGAGAAGATGTCCTCCGACGCACGATCACTGGTAACTTCCCTGCTTCTTGGCCAGGGAAAGCCACAGAGCTCGAAGATGAACTTTGAATCTTTTTGAGGGGATCAGCCCAAATCGAACCCTAAACCTTCCTCGCGCCCTCAACTCCAAACCCTAACTCCCAAGCCCTAGCTAAACCCTCAACCAGCCTAACTAAACCCCTAAACCCGACAGCCTCTACGCCCTGAGACAGCCAGGCTAAAGTGGGATCCGTCCCAGAGGCCGAGTGCGGACCAGGTCCTGAACCATGCGTGGTTGAGGCCTTGATTTGGGATTGAGGGCTTGAGGTTTAGGCTTCAGGGTCAAGATTATCATGATCCTGTTGGCTGACGCTGCAGCGCCTGCTGCTAGTACTGGTAGGCCACTGTAGGGCTACGATATCTACCGCTGCTTCTACTCCGACAAACATGACTGAGTGAGTCCTTGGTAGCATCCGAGGATGCATGGTTTACGATCCACGGCTTTACAGTGCAGACTTTGGGTTGGGGTTTCACTTTGCAGGCTTACAGGCTCAAGCATTAAGTTGAAAAGATTGGGAACGTCACGCACGCACTTCCAGAATCAATAGATCGTTCTTTTCCGATGCCCTCTGTAGCCGTAGTTGTTCCAATGAGACGTATGTATGTACACATTAATATGTGTATATATATATACGTGTGTGTGTCTAAAGGAATAAATTAAAGAAGTATATCATTATCCATGTATGTATTTGCTTAGCTGTCCCAAATCCCAGTTGAGATTGGCCTCTATGTCAGGGTTCAGGGCTTGTGACATCAGTTGTGTGCGACCGATTCTTCTCAGTCGTCTTCTCGCTCAGCTTTCTTAAGGGGTTTGAGGGATTCGGATTTAAGGCTCGCAGAGCAGCGGTTTGGTGTGTTCGCATCGACTGCGATTTTGGGCCATGCTTTCTTCTGATTCGGCTACGTTTGTCTGCTGTATTGTATTTGCTTTCACCACTCATACCGTTTAGTGTCAGCACTACGACGATGATGATCGTTCTGCGTGCATACAAACACACGTACAAATGTCTGCGTGTGAATGCTGCTGTATCTATGACATATATACCTATAGATAGATAGATAGATCGATAGATGTATATATGCACATACATGCATACATACATACACCTGCATGTTGATTTGCTCATGTATACATGCATGTCGGTGTTGTCCTTATCCGCACGATTCCTTGTGCCACGAAAGATGCTGGTGTGGTGATATTTGTTTTTCTTCTTTTGTCTGTCCGAGTGTTGCACTTGATTCTCACATGATGTAATTTCGCTCCTGCTCCTCCTCCAGCTCATCACGGTCATTACCTCACCTCCAATCTCTACCCCAAACTCCAACCACGAAAGCAACGCGGAACCAGGACCTACGACGAGCAGCCCAGCATCATGAGCTCCAAGACGGAAGTCCTCAAGAACCTGCCGCTCAGCCTCCCCGACATTCGGAAGAGTTTGGGGTTGAGGCTTTTAGGTTTCGGGGTTTAGGGCTCGGGGGGACGCGTGTCTTCAGCACCAATGCAGGACGCCAGAGCTTCGCCAAGGGCTTAACCTTCAATCCTCAACAGATCTGCAACCCTAGGCTTCATAGCCCGTAAGACCCTCTAGAAATCTACCTGGATATTACAACCTTTACGATACCTTCTAAAACCCTTCAAATAACAGCCTGAAGCCAGGTTTTAACCTGCAAGCAGGAAAGATTGAAAACATGTTGGAGTCAGGATGGTGCCCTCATAGTAACCCTCAGAGTGAGCCTCATAGTGGTCCTGAAATTCGGTCCCTTGTAGGAACCCCAAACCCTAAACCCTAAGCCCCAAACCCTAAGCCCCAAACCCTAAACCTTAAACCCTAAACCGCCCAAACCCCCAAACCTCTGAGGCGTCGGTTTAGCAACAACTCCACCTTCCTCTCGCTCTGCGCTGCCTCGGTGGCCCAGCAGCTCTCCCGACGTGGCCTAAAGGAGCTGGAGCAGGCGCCTTTTTTGGGGGCCGTGCCCCTGACTTCGGTTCCCCCCCTTTTTAGGGGTCCTTGTTTTAAAAGGGTGCCGTAGTATTTTGGGGTTCCCTGAAGTCGGTCCCCTTTTTCTTTTGGGGTACCTGAACAGGGACCCCATAATTTAGAGAGCTGCCTTTCTGTGGTGTGTTCGACGGGTTCTAGAAGGGCTCCATCTCGAAGGGGCTATGGCTGCTAGAAGGGTTCATGAAAGGTTTTTTTTTTAGGGCTCCAGAGCCAGAAGGGTTCTATGTAAAGCCTACAGCTTTTATCAGGGTTCTAGACCTGACGCGGCACCTGAGGATCTCATCTCCCTAAACCCCAGACGCAAACAGCCTTAAAATCCTAAACACCTCGAAGCCCCCAGATCCTCAGCCGCTAAGCCCTGCTACCCTAAATCCAAAGCCACTAGAAGGTCTTCAAGGAGCTCGACGCCAATGGCGATGGCATCCTTGAGCTGCACGAGGCCACCAGGTAGTCGATCCCAATGTTGAACGCTGCTTAGGAACCACCTGGTTGTTTTTATTAACGGTATCCATAACATGGATCCTAGGTTCTTATTCATACTATAGGGCGAATAAGGATCCTACTATCACATGGTTGTGATTCGTGCATTTTTAATACGGATCCTAGTATGTTGGGCCTACCGAGGCAAGGGGCTGATGGTCAGCTTCCTACATCAGGTCTGTTATTCCCTACTCTGCCAATGATGTCGGCCATGCCAACGATGGCAACCATGACGCTGGCAAGAGCACATCCACGAAAGTACCATTGAAATCGTGAAGTCTCGCAGTTTAAACGTACGTCCATCCAGGTTTCTGTTTCGAAGACTAGCAGCACCACCAACGTACCTCTACTTAGAGTCAGGGATTCAGGAGATGTACTAAAGTTAAGTGAATACCCCAAATGTAACCCATTTACTAAGCTAAGGATCCTGGAAGTAGGTGGTTCGGGGCTGCGTAGTGAAATCAGGACGCGAATCATGGAAGGCCCTCTGTGAAGGCCCCGGCACTTGTCCAAAAGACCCTTAGCTTAAAATCCTCAAGCCCTTACCCCCAAAGTACTAAGCCCTTGAAGACACGTCCCGCCTGTGACTGAGCATAATGGGGTGCAAAACCATGCTGGCCACTATATACACAGGGTCCATGAGCCAGCTCCCATCGTTCGCGAAAGGTGCGAGCGGGATTCCAGCAAATCCTGGGCCGCGGAAGCGCGCCACGTGGCTTAGGTATGCGGTTTTCGGGGGCCTTAGAACTTTTGGCTCAGGGTTTGGGGCTTTGGGGCTTGTCCTCGCATTTGGGTTTCTAGATGCGTGTTTTCAGGGTTGCCAGACCGTCGACTTTGTGTGTTTGGGGTTTGAGGGCATCGGCATCCAGCGTTTCGGGTTCCTGGGTCTTGAGTCTTGTTAGACTGTGGAGACAGTGGGTTGTGACAAGACTGATAAGCCTCGACTGGCGGCGATGCTAGGAAAACTGCGCTTATCATTAATGTGGCCACATAGCAACGGGCGCAGCGTGCCGCTGCCTTTAGAATCCACCGGCAGCAGAGACACTGCCGGGGACAGCGACGGTGATGACGACGACAATGGGCCCACAAGCTATTGCAAAAAGCCCTGACACACAGAGCCTCTGCAGCTCCTAATCCTAATACCCTATATAACCCTTATCTATCCCTTATCTAGTCTCATAAGGCCCTTTGTAACCCTTTGATGAGCACTGGAGTCCCTCCGCGCCTCCGTTCCCCGAACGTCCGAAAGCTACTTCCACGCGACAGCACTGTGTGCAGCCGAGGCCATTGGAAGAAATCGAGGAGCTTAGAGATTCGCACGTCTCTTTGCCTGAATGCTCCAGGGTCCATACTTAGAGCTTGCTAGCTTTACTGCACGGCTGAAGCGACAGATGCAGTTGCTATACATGTATACTATGTCCTTTCATACCTACACTCTAACTTCATATAGTCACACCATAACCTTACAGAAGCATAGTATCTTCTTATATGACCGTACAACCAAAACATGCCACACGCCTTATTCTTATCAGTACAGGAGATGTTCTCGCGCCTGGACATAGATGGCTCCGGAGCCCCTTGTAGAACAAGGAGAGGATTTAGGGTTTGGGGTTTAGGGTTTGGGGGTAGGTTGAGGGTTTCGGGTTTGGGATTTAGGGTTTGGGGTTTGAGGTCTAGAGATTAGAGTTTAGGGTTCAGGGTTTAGGTGTTCAGGTTTAGGTGATGAGGTTTTGGGGTTTCAGAGTCTAGGGCTGAGTTTCCTGGAAGCAACCGATTACGGCTTGTAGTTTTAAGGCAATATAGGGAGGGGCCTTAATGATTGTAATAGGGTTCTTGATCAGACGAGGGTTCCTTTAAGGGCCTAGTACCGGGCCATCAGCAGTGAGAAGAGAGTGCTGGGGTGTACTATGCTAAGGTTGCAAGTGGCAGTATTTATCAAGGAACCTTATCGAGAGGATTTAGGGTATGGGGTTGAGGTGAGGTGTACGAGGGACTGAGGCTCTAGGTTTGTGCTTGGTTCGCCATGGCATAAGGAGCAGTGTGAATCTGCAGAGGTGTCCCGAAGCCCTGAACAGCGTGGGCTGAGCCTTGAGCCCAACCTTCAACCCCAAACCTTAAACCCTAAACCCTGAGCCCGAAACGTGGACCCTAGACCTTAATCCCTGAACCCCCCAAACCTTAAACCCTAAATGTTGGAGACTGCCCCCACTCAGTAACAGTTGAGAAATATTCATAACATGGATAGATAAGGCCTTTATAGTAGCCCTACTATAGACTGTTACTGTATGGGGGGCAGTACCCTAAACCCTTAAACCCTAAACCCCAAACCCTTATCCCTTAAACCCTTAACCCCTAAGGCCATCGATTACACCGAGTTCTTGGCCGCTGGCTTGGGCAACAGGGTCAATAGCGAGGCCAGTAGCTCAGTTTAGGGTTTAGGGGTTCAGGGGTTTAGGTTTGAGGGTTTTTTCCCCGGCTTCCGCGGACCATGAGCCAATGTCGAAGCCCAAATGATTAGTAAGACTAGCTAATATAGAAGCCGAAATGATTAACTAGTAAGACTAGCCAATATAGAAGCCTAAATGATTAGAAAGACGAGCTAGCATAGAAGCATATATGATGTCGAATTATTCTGATTGGACTAGAATGACCCTGATACCGCATCCCAGTAGTCTAAGGCCCCTATATTATCGATCCCAGCGCAGGCCATGAAGCCACAAACTCATCCTAGTATCAATATCCCATTATAGACCCCATCTAGTTCTGATGTCATGGTCCTCAAAACCCGATTCTATTTCTCAAGGCCCCCGTAAAAGCCCCTCTGGTTCCCAAAATCCTAAAGAAGCCCTCTTAATGCCCAAGTAAAGCTCTAAAGCCTAACCCTAAACCCTAAACCCTAAACCCCAAAAACTTAAACCCTAAACCCGAAAAGCCCCCCCACAAGCCTCGCACTGCCTGGGCAGGTGGAGGCCTTGTGGGCGGCCTTCAAGGCTTCCCAAGAGTAGGGTTTTCGAAGGGTTTCTGCTGAACAAAGGGGGGGGGTGGGGTTTCAAAATAAGTGGGGGTCCAGGATGGTAGGGCTTAGGGTTTGGATTAGTGAAGGTTTAGAAGTTCGGGTTTTAGGGTAATTCAGGCGGCGGGTGGGCATTGCAGGACCTGAGGAGTTGCAATTGGGCTACCTGCAAATTCTGTCAAAAGGTGGATGCCTTCGTGATAGCTCTGTTCGCGGCTATACAAGGTTCTCGAGCTCCTAGCCCTGAGTCAGCCCTAGAGATTCCAGGCTTTCGACGTGCATGAGTCGGACGGCAACATCACAGAGGCATGTTGCTCGCTCTGAGTTGGCTTCCCTGGCGTTTGCTTATCCTCGTTGCTATTTGCACAGTGTTATGTGGTCAATTCTAGTTATGCCATGTTCCTCCCGCCCATTTATGGATGCATACGTCTGCGCAGAAGTGTTTGGGTGAGCTAGCGCATGCCGCAAAGCGAAGGGAGACTTTTTCAGGTGACGTGTGGCCTTTGGATCTCTCATATATGTAGATCCAGTGGAGCATGTCTACACTGAGGTAGAGGGCTTAGAAGGGGTCGACGACAACCATCACCACCCCGCCAGGACCAGCACCACCACCACGGCCATCGCCATCGCCTACGTCATCGGCACTATCATCATCATCATCATCATCATGACCGGCACCATCATCATCATCATCATGACAGGCACCACCATCATCATCATCATGACCGGCACCACCATCATCATCATCATGACCGGCACCATCATCATCATCATCATCATGACCGGCACCATCATCATCATCATGACCGGCACCACCATCATCATCATCATGACCGGCACCATCATCATCATCATCATCATGACCGGCACCACCATCATCATCATTATGACCGGCACCATCATCACCATCATCGTCGCATTTATAAGTACGACCATGAGGGTCGAGGGGTTGGGTTAAGAGTCTTGGTTGATCTGCAATGTTTTTTGTGCAACTCTGAGTCTCTTTCACGTCGCCGCAGGCAGAGATTGCCCACGTTCTGTTCGAAGCAGGTGCCACCGGACAGACTACAAGCAAGTTGGCGATGCCTGCTGTGCTGCACAGTTGTTGCTGTTCTGATTTCGGGCTTGCAGTATGATTGATGAAGCCCGGGCATAGTATGGTTGATCAGTACCACCTAGCACAGGAGAATGGGTCAACATAGTATGTGTGGCAACAAGACAGTCTAACAAAAGATAGCCCAACATGGAAAAGTATTTGAATAAGCGGGCTGTGCAAGTCATAGTCTGTTGTTGACTCCTCTGATGCCCCTCGTAGAGCAGGTTCGTGAACGCTGGCAGGTGCAGGTCGCGTGTGGTCCGCCGAGAAGTGCCAGGAGCTTGCGCGAGAAGTCGTGCAACAGTTCGATCGCAGCTCGGAATCGGTTTACGATTCAAGGTTCAAGGTCCAGAATTTATGGTTGATGGTTTAAGGCAAGGTTCAAGGTATTGATTCTTCAAGCGGCTCTGCTTTCCCGTCGCCTGTAGACAGGACGGAAGTTCGATCCTTGTTTGCGTGCAGCTGTGTTAGCAGAGCGAAGTGCATGTTGAGTGAGAGCAAAGTCTTTAAAGGATGCGATATCTGTTACTGCACGGTTCAGATGTGGCAAGTGATGCCAAGGGTGTCTTCTGTTCCAGGGCCCAAGATAGAGCCACAAATGTGAACTCACTCAGCCGGATGTTTGTCCCAAGGGGATGGCAACGGCTCGCTGGATTTCGACGAGTGGCTGGAGATGATGAAACGGCTCGGAGCTGAGATGCGGCTCCAGGGCATGAGTTCTCCGATCCTGAAGCCGACATGACAAGTCACAAGAAGAAAGGCCGTCTGAAATGACCCTACACCCCATGCTCTTGAGTCGGTGGTCATCTCGGTTGTTGGGGGTTTCCGACTCTCCTGGCCAGTCAATCATACAGATCACGGCAATATCGATAGCGCTGCTAGTGGGCATGAGAAGTAGAAGAACCATTTGCATGCAATGACGATGATCGTGAGAGTCGTCATGATGGTCGCCATCCAGCCACACTGTGCGGAGAACGTTGCCCGGCACCAAATGTCACCAAATTCGCAGGAATACCTCTCTGGATCGTCATCTTTTCAACCCTCGCCGTCGCTTTAGCGATGCAATGGTGATCTCTGATCTCTCGTCATCATTGTCATAATCACGGTCAGACATGTACAGCGTCAAAAACGTTACCCAGAAAGAGGGAGTCAGGATAACACTGAACTGGTAGCTACACTTCCGGTCAGACAGTAGCGCTAGTCATGACAAGCACAGCTGCCGTCATTGTCGTCATCCGCATCAGCATCAGTACCAGCATCATGATTGTCATCATCATCCACAACAACATCGTTTGTCACCGTTGTCATCCTCATCCCAACAATTACAACAGTGAACAGCACAGCGTGTCATTGGCTGTATTTTGCTTTGGGCATGATTCGGTATCAGGTCAGGTGCAAATTTGACGTAGCATCGTTTTGTCGTCATGCCGCGGCACACGGCACAGGGGAGCGTAGCGCCTTTGAACCCTGAACCCTGAACCAAACGCCCTAAACCCTAAACCCTAAAGCCCTAAATGACCATACAGCAGGGGACCTGTGTCGGAGTACAAAAATACATCCGCATCAGGTGCAGTGAAGATGAGTCGCCGCCATCTCGGCGTGGAAGCAGGCCTCTCTGTGGCTTAAGCGAGCCTTTATGATGGGCTTATACGGGTTCTGCAGATGGGTTTTGCAGGACATCATGCGTTTATTCAGTACGGCTCTGGTCGGAGCCTGCTTCAAGTAGCCGTAATAAGGCAAGCGAGGCATTGACTTTACGTCTGTGTTGTAATTACTTACACTTAGTTACCTGACCAGTTGAACACCTTCAATGTCAGACAGACCCACAGAGGAGCTGGGCGAGGCACCCAATCGCTAAAGCATATACCTATACCCTACTACTAGGAACCGAAGCCCTGAACCCTAAATCATAAATCATAAACCCAAGCCGTACCCCGGGCCCTAGACCTAAAGCCCCGCACCATGGTCTGCTGTCCTATACAAGAATCCGCTACATGGTCTCGCGCTGCAGTGTGGACCTTAATTTATGCGATCTTTTTTCCTACGGACCCACAAAGGGGGACCGCTGATAGCTGAAATCCCGATTCGTAAGGCAATAGTCCAGGGCTCGACTGGTAACTCGGACCTTCCGTAATGCCGCCTGATGCCTGATGTTAGTGGCTTCAGGAAGGAACACTGGCAACACAAATCACCCACATAGATGCATTCTCTACATTGCCAAGCAATACTGCCACCACTGCCACCACATTATTATTATTAGTAGTGGTGGTGGTGGTAGTAGCAGTAGTACTAGTAGTCGTCGTCGTCGTCGTAGCAGCAGCAGCAGCAGCAGCAGCAGCAGCAGCAGCAGCAGTAGCAGTTCGAGTACGAGTACAAGTACGAGTACCAGTACCTCTCACTCTTACCCTCACTCACTCTCACTCTCCTTCTTTGCCACTTTCCCCACACTCTCACACTCTCAAGCTCTCACACTCTCACACTCGCACTCTCACTTCCTCACTTGTTCACACTCTCACAGGCCCACTCTCTCACACTCACACTCTCTCGCAGTCTCTCACTCTTCCACCCTCACTCTCTGACTCTGTCACTCTCAGTCTCTCAGTCTGTCTCTCTCTCTCGCTCTTTCTCTCTCTGTCTCACTCTGACACTCTTACTCTCTCCTCCTCACGCTCACGCTCACTCTCACTCTCATGCTCTTCCTCGCGCTCTGTCTCTGTCTCTGTGTCTCTGTCTCTGTCTCTATGTCTCTCTCTCTCTCTCTCTCTCTTTGTGTCTCTCTGTCTCTTTGTGTCTCTGTCTCTGTCTCTCTCTCTCTCTCTGTCTCTCGTGACCCGTTGCCTAAACTGCTGAGTACATGCAAGGTCACCGTCTACTCCGACGACGGGCGAGCGGTGTGTTTCTCTGTGACCCTTGGAATGTGAGAAAGGGTAGCTCTATAATTATCAACGTTTCCTGTTCAAGAATCCTCACTATGTTAGATTTCTGGTGAAATCTGTTCGCCGACGGGAAGCGTCATTTAGAGCAACCCCCACATCTGCGCTTGCGTGAAAGCCTGTTTTGCCGTGGCTTGGGCCGACAGCTCCAAGACACTAGCGCCTTCTCTCAAAATTGAAAGTCCCTTTCTTGTCACCACATATGGGAGGAAGACCGCACGCGAAACCCTAAACCCCAGCAAAACTGTTTGGAATTGGGTCCCGACCTTTTGATGGAAGCTCCGAAGCACCAGTGGCGAGTCGGGCAGGGCACAAAGACCAGTGCCAGACTCCCCCAGCAAGTCTCAAGGACGACCAGGGGCTGTTTTTAGGATTTTAGGGCACTTCGCATTTCCTGGAGTGGAGACTCCGATGGGCGGCTTCTCAATGAAGCCCGTCATCTGGCTGTCTTTGGCGTGAGGCATACCTGAGGTATGCGCCTCGTCCTTAACAAGGTGGCAAGACTCGATCAAGGCGTCCATCCATGATGACGGAGCATTATTGGATCACATGCCAGCAGATGGCATACGAAGTAGGTATGTTACCTGTGTTTGCATCGGTGGTGTGAGTGCTACATGGTGTCTGTACTGAATCAGTATAATTAATTCAGTACAGCTCAGTGCCATCGTTTGCTGTGTCTGTTCCAGCCTATGACATAAATCTGGCAGTGGCCCCATCCTGACTATCAACCTCAAGACGCTCAGCAGAATCGTGCCAAGCACGCCTTGAGCGATGTGGCGGCGGCAAAGACTGCTGCGAAGCGACAAGCTTACTAGGTTTGAACTCCTAGCTCCAGCCTTTACTGCTGGATGCTTCCGCTTGCATAGACCTGGCAGCATGCTGGAGATTCAGGGTGGCAGTCTAAGTCTACAGTTGTCTGTCTCGTCACATATGTCATGCGTCCATGTGCCTCCACACCCATGCCATTCGACGCGCCCGCCTCCAGCCGCTGAACAGCCTCTTCCATTCCCACAATTACTCCGGCATCCACTCGCCATGTGCTTCCACAGGTGTCGTGGTATTGAGGTTTAGGTCCCGAAGCCCGAAGCCCTGAAACTTTGGTGAACTGCTACGATGGTGCCCGACAGAAGGCATCACCTGAGAATGCATTTCGGCACTGTGGGGCAGCCAGCGACTTGGCCAAGGTCGTAGCACCTTACAGAAGGAACCCATCAAAAAGGTATGTTCTACTCTACTACATTCTGTTCGATTAAACTGTAGGATTCGTTCGGGGCACTAAATAATTGTTCGGTTCTTTCTTGGCCAAGTTTGCTGCCTGTCCCTCTGAGATTCCGAATTCAATTCGCCGATCTTGATGAGCGGATCCTCGTTGTGCTTGCAGCAAAAGCATCGGCAAGCTCGGGTGTGCACATGCGGTTTAGGGTTCAGGGTTGCTAAGATGCGGTCTTGCTAGGCAGCAGTTGATCGCTCACGCGCTTGCCTCGTGGCTTGGCTTTGGTGTCAGGCGCATCCTTAACGCTTCAGAGTTTCTTCAGTGTACCTCCACTCAGACCATTCATGCTGATCAAGGTCTCATGTCAGCTTCTTCTGATGGTTGAACGTGGTGTGCCAGGTTCTGGACAGTGGCCAGCATCATCGCAAGCTGCGTTATGTTCTTTACCGGCGTTGTGGGCTGGGTGCACTCCTGAGGGCATTACAAATGTCAGGGGCTTGAGCAGTGCAGTTGAATGTGGCTGCCTTGCTCACTTTGCATACGGAGCCTAGGCTCGATTCTTGGTGAAAACACCCCCACCCACCCACCCACCCACCCAGCCAGCCAGCCAGACAGCCAGCCAGCCAGCCAGCCAGCCAGGCACGCACGCACGCACGCACGCACGCACGCACGCACGCACGCACGCACGCACGCACGGCCCCTTGTCTGGGGCGCATGCTGGCTTCAATGTAACGGTTTTTTGCTGAAAACGCGCGAGATCGTC